AGAAGAAGAAGAAGAAGAAGAAGAAGAAGAAGAAGAAGAAGGGCATTTACAGATGACAAAACTCATTTTATGAACATTACAAGCAATTAAATGCTAACAAGCACTCTGGGAGGAATAGTGATTCTTGTGAACTGTGAGCAGATGACTGTACAGACGAACAGATGGAGACGTCATCATAGCATAAGCTCATTGGCACTTTGGTGAAAAAGCTAAAAAGTTGGAAAGAATGTAAAATATGAATCACTTCTCCTTAGATTTAACTGAAATATACAACAAATACAAAGTATCAAGTGTTGAACATGAGTAAAAAAATATTGTTCTTTAAAAAAAACAAAAACAAAAAAAAACAGCACTCATTTTCAAATTTCTACTTTTAACATGTTGTAATTTTTCTAGTGGTTAACACATTTGCCTTACATGCCGCTTCAAGACCAGAGTCACTCCCAACACCAGACAAATGGGAGTATTGTGTCATCACAGCATCCATTTAAGATCTGTGCCAAATTAACATCTGGTGTGGTGCGCCATTGGGAGATAAGAGAGCAGACGAACATGCCAACCTACCTCAGGATTTCTTCTCAGTTATATAGCATATTTAAAAGATTTACAGTATCTAAAGATATCACATTCTCACGCATAACTTTCTGCTTAGAAGAGAAGGAATACCCGCATATATGGCACAAGGCTAAAGAACAACATGAAATGGCTTAAAGTTCCCAGAAATCACAGCACTAAACACTCTGTAATCTGACCAAATGGATAATAGAAGCTCATTCAGCTTGTTATGAATGAAACACAGAAATCCCTAACAGCCTGGCTCCGTAGCAAGATTGTAAACTGGTTAAACTGGCCAGGCTACAGTCCAGACCTGTCAAGAAACATGAAACAAATCTGGCCAGTGTTCAGGTTGGTATTCAAATAAATAAATAATTACTAGAAATTGCTGTTGACTTTTTTGCATTACTTTACTTATTTACTCCCCACAGCAAGTAATTCATTTATCTATGCAGGTGATACATAGGGATGGGTACTGGTATAATGGCACCGGTTCTGACATAAACGGGAGTAACCAGACCGAAAAGCAGCGCACATTTCGGTGCTTTATTTCGGTGCTTTTTTTCCCTGAGATGTCATACACTTTAGATTCTAGCCAATCATTTTACCTTTGCAAGCGTAGTAGGCGGGCCCAGGTACGTACGTTCTTTTAGAGCAGAGCTACAGATTAAAAATGCCCAAGGCGAAGCGGTCAAAAGTCTGGCTGTACTTCACAGCAAAAGATGCAAACTCAGCAGCCTGCAACAAGTGCTTTAAGCTGATACTGTGATACTGTGCAAAGGAGGTAACACCTCGAATCTGATGAAACACCTGGCGACGTTAAAGCCGAGAAATGCGCCGTATTTGATAGCTTGCTGCGAGACCTCACACCGAGCACATCTACTGCGGGTGTGGTGCCTGTTATCGACCCGGAGTTAGCAACATCCCCCAAAAACCCGAAGAGGAGAGTCCTGGCCCCTAGCCCTGCCAGTGTAGCAGAAATGATGAGGATGATGATGGCAGCAGCAGCCGTTCTTCTCTGCGTGAGTAGCTTAATGTTGTTCGTGTGTAATTTACGTTGAGTAGGCTAACCACGTTATTACATTAATGCATGTAAGGTGAACTAGCAAACATCATCATAGCTACATGCGGCTGTCTTCTTGTTTGATGGCAGATACTCCCTTCACCCTTTCCATTGATTAAGCACTGCTTCCAGCCAAGAGTGATGCCATATATGCCCTATAGCTGCAGAAAAGGCTAACATTGTTACCTTTTTACAAAAAAAACCCAGCTGAACATGAGAGGTTTTTGGACCAATTTTGTGTTCCCCATTCTTTAAGCACCGGTTCGAGCACCGTTTAAGCACCGGCACCATTTCAAAAGTACCGGTTTGGTACTGGTATCGGATAAAACCTAAACGATACCCATCCCTAGTGATACAGGTCAAGTAGTTAAACTACAGGTAAAGAAGTAACTACTACATTACAAACTCTAATTTCCTCCTAAATTCAGACAAAACTGAAGTGTTTTTTTTTATTTTATTTTACTTTGTCCTAGAAGCATTACATGTAACCAGATATTTACTTGAGATGGTTTTAACTTGGCCTTCGGTAACACTATGAAGAATCTTGGAGTCATTGTTGATCACAGCATGTGCTTCAGTGAGCACATTAAACAAAAATGTAGGAATGACTTCATTTATTTGTGCAATATTCCTAAAATTAGAAACATCCCAACAAATTTATTATTATTTATTATTGATACTGTACTCATTATTATCATAAGGTTGCCTTAAAAGTTCCTTGAAAAGTCATTCAGTTGCTGAATATCACAGCCAGAGTAGTGACATGACAGATGGCTGCTCCACCCTGAGCCTGGTTCTGCAGGAGGTTTTTTCCTGTTAAACTGAGTTTTTCCTTCCCACGGTCGCCAAGAGCTTGGTCAATGGGCATGATTATTGGGGTTTCTTTCTAATATTGCAAGGTCTTTATCTTACAACAGTGTCTTATGGTAACTGTTACAAATTGAGCTATATAAATACAACTGAACTGATGTGTATCAGATACGCTGCTCATTATAAGGCTTATGTTATTGCACAACATCATCTGTGTAACATTCTGTTAATAATATTACACAAAATCTTTATATGCCTGTATTTCTACAAAAATCACTATTAAAATAAGGAGAACATACACAAGATTTTCTTTAACTATTTTGAATTAAGTATTAAGTACAGCAATGTGAACACCACAGATGAGGCCTTTTACACCTAATTATTGTTATTAGGAAAAGAAAGGATACCCCGAAAAGAACACGAATATTTTACCTTCAAAACTGCAGCATGTACAACAAGAGCTAAAGCTGTTCTTACCTTTTTTCAATCCACTGCAGCACAGGGTCCCATTCATTCCTCTGCAGCTCGACTAAACCATGGGGCTCATCTACTCTGTAACTACACAAAACATAAATCCTACAACATTAAAGTCACAATAACTCCAATCAATTGGTGGCAACTAAGCAACATAAAAACATCAACTCAGAAAATAACCAGCTAAGTTTGTCTACAGTGTGTCAATGTCTCTTTATAGGTGTTAAAACACTGATTTGTTTATTAATAAAATGAACAAATGAGTGGCTCCTATGAGGAAAATGATTTAAAAATGTGATATTTAACAGTGTAACACAAGTAGATTTTATAAGCAGGTACAGGAGTTAGCTATCCATTTATTCTGCTACTGTAACAAAATAATTTTCTTTTTAAGTCAAATTGTAGAATTTTTCATATTTGTCTTTCAACACAATTTTGGCTTTAATTGTGATTTAAGTGACGCTGTTTAAGGAAAATACCTGAATACCATCATAATTATGATCAGGAAAGCATACATATTTAAAGCTATAAAGAAACAACAATTAACTGTAGCGCAAATCAAACTGTTCTTAAAGTATCATAGCACTCTGCAAAGGGACATTTTTTTCCCAAGGTGAAAAAGGCGAGTTTAAGTGTTACTATTTTATGGTATGTAATACCATAAAATAGTTCATTTCCTGTCTTATTTTGTATAAATTCAAATTTAAATAATTATCAGATGCGTGGATCTGTGAATGCACATGGGCGTTCACAGAACTATGTAGATGTATATACATGCATTTGCATATGAGTTTATGTTTGAAGTGTCAGAAAATTAAACAAACCTAAAATAAATAGAAATAAACAAGTACCATACCAGATGGTGTCAGTCTCCAGAAACTTGAGAGCAGCGGTGATCATTTGTTCTTTGCTGCGTTGGGTGGGATTGTCGAGAGCCGTGTTGCACAGGGTAGTCTGAGGAAAGAGTTTCCCAAAATTAATATTACAGTGAAATTTTTGTATAAATATCATGGCAAAGTTATTTTAAAGGTGCACGTCCTGCAAGCTGTTGGAAGATCTGGGTAACATTCCTTTTATAAATATGACCTATCAAATCATAAAACTCCTCTCAAATTTTCCTTTTCTCTGAACATTATTTTATGTAACGTAGGTGGCACCAGTACTTTGCTACAACTCCATGTCAAATGCTTTACCAAGTGCATAGTGTAGAACTTGAGTGTGTCCCTTTGAGCATCCCACTCAGTTGCAACAGCGATGGCCAAGGCTTCATTTGGCACCGTGAACAGCTTCCCTCCTGGAGTTTTCAGCTTCCTTTGGTCCAGGTTTATCTCATATAAACCACCTATATAGAGATATTTTTCAAAAGATATCCAGAATGACACAATCATAAAGATGGGGCAGGAAAACCTGCTACTACAATACTATACTTGACTGGATTACTAATGACAAAACTACAGATACCTTCACTTTGAGATATGCTGACATCTTGATAAAATCTCTTCCTTTCTGGTGAACAGAAAAACGCCACATCAGGGTGAAATGACACAAATCTTCTGCAGATGACGGGAGCTTTCATTCAATGTGGTTATTGCTCTTACCTGCTGTGGCTGCGGAGTATCTCGCAACACATTCGTAGTACTGATTTCTCGGGCACACTTTACTGAGAGAAAAAGCATTCCCAACCTGACTCTGAAGTCTAACTATACACCTAAGCATAGCGGAAAGTATGTGAAGATGTGATGCTTTTAAGTAAGGCTGACTGAGAAGAAAACACACCTGCGAGATGTCTGTGTCTGAAACGTCCTCATTTAACAAGAGTTAGCACTGCACGCATAGTTTCCTATTAGCATCAAGTCTTATTTTTAATCCATTTATCAGCTGCTCAATTCTTAAGCATCTCTTGTGTTCAAAAACACGCGTGTGACCTTCGGCGCTTGACAGCAGCGTAGAGGCTTCTAGTTTCTTTGGGAAATGTAGTTTAAAAAGCGCTTCTATACGTGCGCTACACACCCTTACACAACAGTTGGAAAACTACACCCAAATATTTCCACGAAACCTTCCGCATGTCGAACCAATGAGCTTCGAAAATGTTCGAAAGCCAGACTCAGTTGACCAATGAGAGCGGCGGGTACTTCTCGCTAAAACACCGCGTCGAAGTCCACTTCTTTGGGAGCTTGGTTGCTGGTAAACTGAACTGTAGCGGAATTAAGTGGAATTTGAATGTTGTTGGACCTCTTCGGCTCTCTGCCACCTCCTCGTAGACGCCGACAGAGTACCTCTCCTCGACGGCAATTGCCCGTGGTCGGTGCCTGGTCAGCGAAGCGGGAGCCATGCCTGTCCCCGCTGGATACCTCAGCGACTCCACCGCCGCGGCCTTCACATCCTCGGCCTCACTTATCCCGCCGCCCCCGATAAACACGCAGCAGCCCGGTGTTGTCACTTCGCTCCTGTACAGCGGTTCCAAATTCAGAGGCCACCAGAAAAGCAAAGGAAACTCTTATGACGTGGAGGTTGTTTTGCAGGTGGGACAGTGAAGCGGCTATTTCGTTATTCAGTCGAGATGTCAGAGGCATTTGGTCATCTGTCAAACGGGCGGCATGATGATTGACAGGTGGTAAAATCAGCCTGTCCTGTCCCGTAGCAGTGCCCACGACTGAATACAAACAAACATTTTAAATTTGTTGTCAATGTTTTAATGCAGCTGAAGTAATTTATTACTATAAATACTAATAAGGACATTCAGAATTGGTGTAAAGGCCTACACAAACATTTACCTCAGTAGAAAATTATTTGTATTTGAGGTTGCTGTTAGAAATTAAATATTTAGCATTGGCTTTGTAAAACCATAACTTGATCTGAACTGATGTCAATGTGATGTAGTTTATAGTATGTCTTGCTTTCTTTTTAAAGCATGTGACCATGGAGGATTCCTACTTATGTGGCTACCTGAAGATAAAAGGACTAACAGAGGTGAGAGAGGTGATTCCCTTCATTAAAGCATGAGCATAAATAATTTATACCATGTCTGGCCACAGCTGTAATGGAAATTGTTGTGACTATTTTTGTAGTAGCAAACATGTCTAACAGTGCCAAGAGAAAAAGGCAATAACATAAGACAACACAAAGACTATTGGGCTTTTCAACCAAAGTATCAATTGATGTTAAAACAGTGGGAAACGTAAGTACAGCTGTTTAGCAAAAGGAGTAGAAGGGCTAACTTCTTGAAGGCTTTTTGCATTTTTTTAAAGGTTTTCTTGCACATACTGTCCACACTTTCCATTAAACATCTACTAATTCATTTGCTGGTCACTATAAAATATACATTTCTAGTTTAATTTCAACTATTGAACCTTTTCTTTGAGTGCTCTTTGAAATAGTTGAATCAATGACTGCACCCTCCCCTGAGGCAGATCGCACCAGTTATTGTGGCCGTGCAACTCCTTTTTGATTGGCCTGTCGAGAACACATTGTTCTAATATGCATGTCTCATCAATAAAAAAATTTTGTTAGCTTAATACTTAAAAGTAGTTTTGAGATTGTCACACAGGTTCTTAAAATCCTGTAGGTTTTAATTTGTTAACAGCTTAAAGTCAGAACACCTTAATACCTACAGAAATGAGCGGGTAGTCGGGATCGGCCACAGACAGATTCATGGCAATGGTAGAGAAGATATAAGACACCCAACATGTGTCATTCAGTAGGCTACATTTTGAGCTCACAAACAGGCAGTTTGAGTTTGTGTTGAGGCTGTGTGCACTAGGTGTCGGGAAAGGCAACGTTTATCACAGGTTGAACTCGAATGGCCACACGTAACCAGAAGAAAACAAACAGTCAAAACAAGACTGTAGTTAAGTTAAATGACTTCCTGAAAACTTATATTTAGGCTTTTAGTTCATCCTCTGCTTCTTCCTTGTCATTTTAATTCAACTTTATTCTGATTGGTGGATGTTATACTACTAATCATGCCTTAATAGCATCGTTTAAAGATGGTGTGAATAAGATGTTATCAGCACACTGGCAAAATGGCCATAACACTATCTCTGCAGGAGGTGTGTTAAAATCTATTTCACAGAGTAAATTACAGCTAACGCAATACATGCTATAATTAGTGTCCTCGGTTATTAAGATAAGATAACTCTTTATTGTCATTGCACAGTCGTACATAGTACAGTAGTACAATGAAATTGGAAAACTGTCCTACGTCGGCACTACATATAACACAACACGACACGATATGACACATCACAACGCAACAAACAACACAACACAGTATATTAGCTTAGTATAAAAAAGAAGAATAAGTGTATGTGTATTGCACACTGTTATTATTGCACATTAATCATTATTGCACCTTGTTATAAATATAAATATTATTATTGTTATTGTTTTAAACATTGTTACCTCCCCCCTAAAAAAGTCCAGGGAGGTAGCCAGTCAGGTCAGCTATTTACATTGATCAGGGCTATTGCCCTGTTGTAAAAGCTGTCCTTGAGTCTATTTGTTCGGGACCTCAGCAGCCTGAACCTCCTGCCAGACGGCAGCATCTTAAACACCCGGTGTCCTGGGTGTGTGCAGTCCCGTAGGATGCTGCGTGCCCTCTTGAGACAGCGAGTGCTGTACAGGTCCTTCAGGGAGGGAAGAGGATGTCCAATGATTTTTTGGGCCATGTTGATGACCCTCTGGAGTGCCTTTCTGTGTGCTGTGGTGCAGCTGGAGAACCACACACCGATGCAATATGTCAGCACACTTTCAATGGAGCAGCGGTAGAAGACGGTCAGCAGCTCCTTCTTCAGGTCCATTTTTCTGAGGATTCTCAGAAAGTGGAGACGCTGTTGGGCCTTCTTTAAGACCGCAGAGGTGTTAGAGCTCCATTGGAGGTCTGTGTCTATGTGCACACCCAGAAACTTGAAACTGGAGACCCTTTCCACGCACTCCCCGTTGATGCTGACAGGCTGCAGCTCGGACTTCCTCCTTCTGAAGTCAACTACCAGTTCTTTTGTTTTGGTGGTATTGAGGTCCAGGTTGTTATCTGCACACCAATCTGACAGCCTCTGAACTTCAGCTCTGTATGCAGTCTCATCTCCCCCTGAGATGAGCCCCACCACGGTGGTATCATCTGCAAACTTGATGACTGTGTTGTCTGGGTGGGAACTAACACAGTCATGTGTGTACAGAGTGTACAGTAGGGGACTCAGTACACAGCCTTGTGGAGAGCCGGTGTTGAGGCTGAGGGCTGAGGAAAGATGAGGCCCCACTCTAACTCTCTGTACACGGTCTGAGAGGAAGTCTCTGATCCAGCGGCAGGTGGTGGAAGGAAGTCCAATTTCCAGCAGTTTAACTATTAGTCTGTCCGGGAGTATCGTATTGAAAGCAGAGCTAAAGTCAACAAAGAGCAGCCTGGCGTAACGGCCCTGCACTTCCAGGTGAGAGATGGTGGTGTGGAGCGTTGTAGCAATGGCATCTTCAGTTGATCTGTTAGCTCTGTATGCGAACTGGAGCGGGTCGAGTGAATTACAGAAGTAATTACTAGGTAACGGCTCACGTCTTTGTGTTCCTGCTGTACAGAGCATCCAGAACATTCCCACTGTATGAATGCAGTGGTGAACTAGCTGTGACATTGTGTTGGCTTATTACACATACCTCTTATTTGTCAGTCTCTAAATGATCACTTTCTGTAGTGTTTTAGAATTGAAGTGTCTTTTATATAATTGAACATTAAGTAGACAGATGTGTTTGTTATCATTTAATGTTACTTTCTTTTTAATTACAAAGAGTAGAAGTGACCAGATGTGTCTTCAGTTGCTTCTCGTTGTTGTTTTAGGAATATCCAACACTGACCACTTTCTTTGCTGGAGAGATCATCAGTAGGAAACGGCCATTTCTCACTCGGAAATGGGATGCAGATGAGGATGTGGATCGTAAGCACTGGGTATGGTGAAACCGCTTTTATTTGTAAATTACAAAAATTATTCTCCATCAGACTGATTTATTCTGACCTATCCTGTAAACATTTTTTGTGTCCAGGGCAAGTTCCAGGCCTTCTACCAGTATGCAAAGACATTCAACTCTGACGATTTTGACTACGAGGATCTGAAGAACTCTGACTATATTTTCATGAGGTGGAAGGTACGATTACTGAACAGTGAACTTAACTATATTCTGCAGTAGGTTGCCTCTTATATTTCTGTTGGTTTTTTTTCTCACCTGCCTGCCGTAGGAACAGTTTTTAGTCCCTGACCACACAATTAAGGACATCAGCGGCGCTTCCTTTGCGGGATTCTACTACATCTGCTTCCAGAAATCCACAGCAACAATTGAGGGCTACTACTACCACAGGAGCTCCGAATGGTGATGCAGCACACTAAAAGTTATTGTGATTCAAGGTTGACTTGTATTAGGAGCTTTAACCAGCTGGCTCACCTCTGAAAAGTTGCTTTATCCTAGACTGGCTGAAAATCTGGTTGGGGAAAACTCAGTCAGTCAGCTTCTCTCAAGTTTTCTCAATTGTGGCTTCTCAGATAATTAGCAGACAGCTCTAGTTTAAAATGTGTAATTTTATATACACAAAGCAGAAGAGTCCAACCCGCAGTTTGGTCTGTTTAATTTATGTGGTTATGCTGCCTGGTTATAAGCAAACTTAGCCCCACTTTTACTCCATCTCTAGTGTTTTTGTGCATTCTGTGGTAGCAGTTTAACTGTTGCTGTTCAAAATAGTCTCAAAGCCATTTTTATCTCACCAAATTCACACCTACAGTCAATTTACAGCCACCAATTAAACTAACATCCAAGTCTTTGAGGTGTGGTTGTTGGCACCATTGCCTTACAGTCTTTCTGTATGTTGTACCTATGCAAAATGTTCATATTGCCTCACATTATACAGAATTGAAGCCAATACCAATATATTTGCGACCAGCCAGTATCAGATAGGTGATTGATATAGGTCTGGCTGTAATATTGCATTTGCAGAAGTGCAGCACTGCTCTGTAGCCTGTACTTACAAAAATGTGCCTTCTCACTCTT